GCACAGGCTACAACATTATGCCTATTAAATTTATTAGAGCGTGCTGGGAGCAAACATCATTCGGACTAAAGGTATATGTAAGCCATAAAGTGAACATTGGTGCGGACCACTGATTAGCTTTTACAGTTTCTTTTTATCACTTTGGAATGGAGGCACGTGCTTTGTTGGGGCCTATAAATACACGTGTGTGACAGCTGGACCTGCCCAAGCCTTGGGGCAGATATGGGTCCCACTTTAAATTTAGACTCAGGCCTTGGACTTGGGTTTTAGGATATTTCTTATTAGATTGAAGTACTGGATGCCGCACCATCAGTGGTGATGGCTTAGATGCTGTGAGTATGTGTGGACATTGTGACAGGTGGTCATTGATGTTAGAGTACAGATTTACTGTCTGCATGCTCTCCTTTCTTTTCCATAATGACAAATGGGAATGCTTCACGGCAGGGAGGAATTCAGGTCACGTGACTCAGGAATCCCAGCTTGTCTCTCTGCGGAATTAAATTGATAAAGACTGCAGCGACCAGTCAAGGTGACTCAAAACTGTGAAGACGGTGGGCTTTGATGACACATGACAGTTGTGTTCATGAGTTGCCTGTAATTGGCCATGAGGATGATAAATATGTAGCAGTTTCAACAGCAAGATTTCAGATCAGCTGTGGTTGCACATGGAGAAAAACCTGGTCAAATAGTCCAAATACTTATGGACTCTGCAAAAGTTGTTAAACTGTAATCAGCAAAGGCCGTGAAAGTGTAATGATTTTATTATTTTCTGCTACCAGGAAGTGTTGGATATTAAATGTCATCAGGTTGTGCAGCTGAGAAATGTTGGACTTGTTATAATAATAAATTAAGAGTTGATTTCTAAAGACAAATGCATTTCTCATTGAGATATATTTCGTTTTCTACCACTCTGTGCAGTGTTTGTCATGTTTCGGCTGTGTGGCAGGCAGGGATTGGACCCAAACGCAAACTCACGGGGACAGAACTTGAACTCAAAAGCACAGTTTTATTGCTGGAAAATAGAACACAAGCAATACAAAACTAAACTGGGAAAAGCTAATTAAAATGCATCCCAGAAGACACGGGGAGAGTCACACACAGCATGAGGGACGACGCGACACTGACTCAGAGAAACACAGGGTTTAAATACACTGGGAAGTAACGAGGGGAATGAGACACAGAAGGAGGGCACAGCTGGGAGAAATCAGGACTGACGAGACAAGCAAAGCAGGACGCATTCACATAGGACACGGACCATCAAAGTAAAACAGGAAGTATCACACAGAGACGCGAACTTGACACAGTGGAGACAGCAACTAAGAAACACGGATGATCTGATATCCTCGTGTTGGTGTTGTTCCCAGACCATCATGAAAATGTTGTTCCAGGTTCAACATTGCAAGTGACCAATCACATTGTTGTGACGTTATTCTTTTGCGCGCCAAGCCATTCGTGCATTTATGAAATTCCAATGTTGCAAGGACAATATCAATTCTGCTTACTGTTTATTAAAGGGTTACGGTTAGGGTTAGGGTCAGGGTCCGTTGATCGGCGGACAGAGGCGGTTTCACGCAGCTTTAGTACAGTTTTTTGTTTTACGCCGGTTTTTCCCGAAGTCGCAAAAGTATGACGTCACAACATTCTGATTGGTCACTTGCAATCTTGATCCTGGAACAACATTTAGTATGATGATCTGGGAACAACACCAACACGAGGATATCAGATCAACCAAGAAACACAGAGACATAAACCATAAGGCAGAGGACTCTAAGAACCGAGAGACACAGAGGGGAACTCAAACATGCAGACACAGACTACACAGAACAGAGGGGACACAGAGAAACATGAAGGGCAAGGGATCGAAACTAGAAACCATAGAATAACTCACACAAGTACAATAATACAAACATCACAAAGAACTAAAAACGCTGGGTCAGGAGACCCAGGACCGTGACAGTACCCCCCCTTAAGGGCTGGCTCCAGACAACTGAAACTCAGAAAAACAAAACCAAACAGAAAACAACCCAGGGCGGGCGGCGGGGGCCCAGGACGGAGGGCGCGTAACAGAAAACAAAAGCAGAGCACAGCAAACACCGGAGCCCAAGAAAACAGCCCAGACACAGGGGCAGTTCAGGGGGCCGACAATGCGGACGGCAACACAGCTGATTTAAATGGCCTAATTAGCTCATCAACATGTCCTGAAGTTCTCCAGAGGCCTGGTAATGAACTAATCATGTGATTCAGGTGTGTTGACCCAAGGTGAGACCTAAAACCTGCAGGGACACCGGCCCTCGTGGACTGAGATTGCCCACCCCTGCATTAGCTGGTAGGTTTAAATAAAGTTTTGTATGTTTTACTCAAAGCCCTGCTTCAGATTGGTCACCTGCCCGGGGTGTGACCTGCCTCTGAGCCTGTAGTAGCGAGATAGGGTCCCGCCCCCTATTAGGAAAAAGGACAAAAGCCTTTATTCAGAGCTAAACATGATAAAAACATATATAGTTGCCGTGAAGTCAAGTGAGCTGCATTTCAACAATAAGATCAGAATTAATGTTTGTGTTCTGGGGCAGTTTGTCTGAAACCTTGTTTTGATTGTTTGCTTTACTTTTAATGCATTCTTACATTTTCCTCATATGAATTTTTATTGTACAAGACTGAATTTGACCTGAAGCTATTTTTATTCTTACATCTGTCAGCTCTAACTGCACTCGCCTGCCTTCTCTGCTGAACGATAGTAACACTGCAAAGTGAGCCGAGCTGTTACAGTAGCTGGATTTTCATGGCGTCGGCCCAGAAATTAAAAATAAACCATCACGGTCCTCACTCGGTGTCAACCATCTTGTCCTTAGGAAGTCTGCCAGAGTCATTTGCAGCGCTACACATGTTTCTGTGTTTCGTCACGCTCGTGTCCCAGAGGTGGTCATTTTAATGCCCTCGACCTCTGGGCATCATTCAGAAACACTGGCACAGTTTGAATGGTGGACCCAACACTATCAGCACTCGCGCACACTGCTGCACCACAACACTGGAATGAACGTTAGCGAGCCTACAGCTGAAACTAATAGGTATGAGCAGGAAAGAAGGCACCGCCATTAATCTCCAGTTAAGAACCAGATCTCCTCGGAGCCAAAGTGCACTCTCTGAACTCCGAGATAAAGGATGCACTTAATGGGTCCGTTTGTTTGATTTTCTTTCCTCTTTATTTGAACTGAGAGATGCTGCCACTGTTATCTTGCACCTCAATTTTCGTGCATGGGTGTTTTTCCCCGAAACAAGTGGGATTCAAAGAGATCGGTTTCAAGCGTCATTGGAATTCACTGCAGTCTTGACTTTGGTGACCTTTATTACTGAAGAAGATAAGCATTTCTCTTGATGTGAAGCAGCAGTTTGATAGACTCTCTTTCAAACTTCTCGAAATTGTATAGAAAATCTAACTGAGCTTTACTTTTTTATCAGGTTGGACTGATACGCATAGTTACTGATGTTCCAGTAGAGCATATGTGTGAATTCTATCGCACACTTCCATGAACGTGCACCAGAGAGAAGTCCTGACAGTTTGGACGGCTTATTTGGGATGATTCAGAGGTCAGGGCGCTATGACATCACTGTGGGCTTACAGGGGGACTCTAGGTGCTCAGGGTGCTTTTCTGTTTGTAATTATAAAGAGCTGCTGATGTCATATCTGAAACCGATCACAAAGAGCACTCTGTTCGTACAGAACGTGAACACACACACAAGAACACGCACGTTTTCACATTCACAGAGACAGAGAAACAAACTTCTCTTCAGTCTCTTAACATTGTTGGTTGTTGTTCTCGTGTGTGGAGTCAGCTCCCAGCTTGAGAACTGGTTAGAGGTCTTTGCCCCTAGCTTTTGTTTTAGCATCACAGAAATGTGGAAATTTTAATGTCACATTTTTGCCATTTTTTATAACTAATTTAACCTCCTAAGACCTGAACTCTTCCACAACATGCATTTTAAGTTTCTCTTTGATATTTGGGCTGATTTGCACCTGATGAATGTAAAAACAAAGAATTACCAGATTTTTTTTTTTACCTTTTTTTTGTTTCTGAGAAAAATGAGAGCCACATATGAGGATATTTGTTTAAAATTTCAATAGAACAGTGGCAACATAATGTCCTCGTAAGTGGATATCAGGCCCTTGAAGAGCAAAATTGAGGATTTTGGCCTAAATAACCCAAAATGTGACGTCCACATGTGTGGACACCAGGTCGTAGGAGTATAAATATAAATTAGTTCATGTCCATGTCCTCCAAAAGTTGTACCCACTGCTTTCATAACTTTAAAAAAATGATATTAACTGAAGAGGATGGCAGAGTGGTTCAGTGGTTAGCATGGTCACCTCACAGCACCAAGCTTCTGGGTTTGAATCTTTCTCTGTGGAGTTTGTGTGGATTACTGTGACTGAGAAGCCACACTGGCGGTTTGGTTCATTGGTTATTCTAAATTGACTGTAGCTGTGTCTCCAACCTTTGACAACTGTAAACTTGACTCATAAATACAAATGAACTCATGCTGTGCACAGGCTCAGTTACAAACTACTTTTAAATTATTTAAAACATTCAGAAATGACAGCAGAAGTTGTGAACCAGTGATAAGTCTATGTACATGCACTTCTACCAACACTCACCCTTATATGCCTTTGTGATTTTGGGACTACACACACACACACACACACACACACACACACACACACACACACAGGTGGGTAATTATTGATATTCACTCCAGATTAGGGATGTTAACAGAAGACATGTTTATCCAGTTTTAATACAAACACAATGATTGTGCTTGTGTTTGTCATCGGATCAGTGCAGGTCAGAAGGTCTGTTAATGTGAACAGGAATGGAAGCCAAACTCAAACAACACACTCCTGAACCAAAAATACCTATGAAAGGAAAAAGATGAATGGTAGTGGGATGCAACCGAATAAAAGGCTGAATTAAAAACAGAGAAACCTGTTCCTTCTCTCTCTGGTTCAGGTAGGATGAGATCCAAAAGCAGTGGGGTGGACAACCCAGCCAATGGGGTACTTGGAGTTCCACAGGGTGACCAAGAACAGGAAGTGAGCCTGCCTGTGAAGACCCTGAAGGCCAAAGTCCAGCAGAAAGATGGTGAGGAAACAGTGGAGGTCGAGGTGATCTCTGACAAAGACAAACCGTTGGATTCCTCCAAGGCTGGAGATAAAAGACAGAACATCCTGGATCTGTCTAAAGAGGATTTGCTGACACTGTTGGGAATCATGGAAGGAGAGATTCAGGTGGGCGAGGCATTGTTTCCCTTTGTGTTTAGCTTTCTGTATGTGATCTGCAGCTGTAAGCAGGACAAGTGCAATGATAAGAGAAAAGGTGGATGAGCGCAGTACCTGAACATTATTGGCTTGAGTAACTGCAAGTTTTGCACAACAGCTCTCTCTTGTGGTTTAAAATGTAATATACCAGAGAAAACTGACAACCACACTTAGACTTTATCGAGTTGGTACTTTAGAGAACTCTGAAAGGTAAACTGGTGATCCATGAAGCAAAGACTAGCAAGTTTTTAACACCCTCTGTATCATTTCTGTGTAACTTCAGGCCAGAGAGGATGTTATCTGCATGCTGAAGTCCAAACACAGTTCCCCAGAAGCCCTTGAGTCACAGTATGGCTCTGCGGTCCCTGGCTCGGCCCTCCAGGCCCTTCAGAGAGACGGCGTCATCACAGGCACCAAACCACACAACCACAGTGTCTACCAGAAACCGATGACTGAGGTTAGTAGGCGAGTGTCAGTCACAAACCCTGAGGGATGATCAAAATTACTTTTTTATTAACAGGCCTCAAGACCCTGGAAATCCAAGAAATCACAAGACAGAAACTAATAAAAGTAATGTTTTTGTCACCACCTGGCAGGAGGTTGTTGCTACAAAACACTCGGCATGTTGCACCACAGCAACTGGAATTTTTGTTTCTGTGTGTGCGTGTTCGTCTTTGCCGTCTCAGCTCGAGCGTCTGCAGGAGAAGCACAAGGAGACGTACCGGCGGATGCTGGGTCAGCTGCTATTCGCAGAAAAGTGCCACCGGCGAACGATCCACGAGCTGGACACAGAGAAGAGGAAGCACGCCGACTACATGAACAAGAGCGACGACTTCACCAACCTCCTGGAGCAGGAGAGAGAAAGGTGAGGAGATCAGGAAAGGAATGCAAGAGCCAGCGGCTGTAAAATTGCAACGCCATTATCTGAACCTGGACACTGTTTAGCTGCCCCGCTATTTTAAATCATTTGGTAAATAAGCTTTGAGAGAAGCACCTACAAATATGTTCATTTAACAGAAAGCAATATGCACATAAAGTGAAAAAATGGTGTACAGAAAGTAAATTTATTGCTGTAGCACTGCAAACATCATGTGATGCTCATACAGAATTTTACAGGTATGAGAAGTAAAAGGAGGAACTGTGAAGGAGAACCTGGTAAAAGCAGCAGGGGAAGAAGAAGAAAGCATAAAGTGCAGTTCCAGTGTAGTCTATGAAGCCAGTGCATCCAGTGGCTCAAGGGAGAGAGTCGAGGGAAGGAATGCTTGAAAAACATCTCAGACTGCATGAAAGATGGCTTCATCGAACCTGTGACGCAAGCGAGACGGGAGAAGACAGGGAGGTGCCGCTTACTGAATGATAACCTCGCATAGCTTTGTATGCAGGGGAGAGTCACGCAGCTCAAGGAAAGAGAGGCCAGAGGCAGGGTGGACTTGGACTCCTGTGGGAAAGACACAGGTCAGGTATTGGGAGAAGAGGACACAGAGCCATGGGGTGGAAGAACAGCAGGAAAGACAAGCGCAGGGCTAAAGGACATGTCAGAGCTTCATTGCTGAGGTTGTGACATGGGCTCGCAACCTCAGAGCGGCTGCATGGACACACAACACAGGAGGGGAGATGGTGAAATTCTGTGTCTAGAAGGCTCATAGAGATAAAGCAAGCCTGTATGTGAGAGCGTATTTGTGCCATGGGATTGTATGAGAGAGAAGGCCCTGCTAACTGCAAACACTCCCATATAAAAGGGTTTAATTGACTGTTGGTTGTTGGAGATTATTCTTTTGTTATTGTTTTGTTGCAGCTTCCACAAACGGACGGCGATGCATAATTTAAAGCTATTTGCACTCATAGTTTGCAAAATAAAAATAACAGCAAAATATGTGGACGACATAATCATCTGTAAGACAGACTGGAGCACTTATGTGGCAATTTATAATGACTGTGAAAAAGTTGCTTTAAAACTGTAACATTACCTCTTTGCACGGGCACACACACACACACACACACACACACACACACACACACACACACACACACACACACACACACACACAAAAGACACAGCTGGGAAATAAGCAGCTGAATTTACCCACAGAAACGACCACCTGCAGTAACCAACCACTGTGGCCCGCCCCACAGTTTGAGAAAGACTAATCTAAAGTAAATTTATGTGAAATTTGATACTTTAATCTAGCACTGTCCAACTCCAGGCCTCGAGGGCCGGAGTCCTGCAGGTTTTAGTCCTTGATCTGACACAGCTGATTCAAACGGCTAAATTCCTCATCAACATGTCTTGTAGTTCTCCAGAGGCCTGCGAATGAACTAATCATGTGATTCAGGTGTGTTGACCCAGGGTGAGATCTAAAACCTGCAGGACACCGGCCTTCGGGGCCTGGAGTTGCCCACCCCTGTTTTAAACAGAGCCCTAGTGAAAGAGTGCACACAACCAGCTTAAACTGCATGTATTTCATGAGTTTTAGCAACAGGAAAGAGGGACTGCTGACCTGTCTGTGGTGTATCCTGCTGTGTTAGCTGGACTGGTTGAGCTCTTCTGTGTTGCATAAGCAGGGGTCTCGAACTCCAGTCCTCGAGGGCC